CTCAAGTGGTAGAGCGCTTGCCTTGAGCTGAAGAGCTGAGGGACAGCGCCCAGGCCCAGAGTTCAAGCCCCACGACCGACAAAAAAAAAAAAAAAAGAAGGGATGAAGCCGGGCGCTGGTAGCTCACACCTGTCATCCTAGCTACTCAGGAGGCTGAGATCTGAGGATCGCGGTTCAAAGCCAGCCAGGGCAGGGAAGTCGGTAAGACTCTTATCTCCAATAGATCACCAGAAAACCAGAAGTGGCGTTGTGGCTCAAGTGGTAGAGCACTAGCCTTGAGCTGAAGAGCTGAGGAACAGTGTTCAGGCCCAGAGTTCAAGCCCCATGACCGACAAAAAAAAAAAAAGAAGGGATGAGGTTTAGGAGGGCAGAGCTGAGGTGGAGGGATTGGCCTGTCAGCCAGGGAGAGCAGTCCACGGTCCACACCCTTTTGCTTTCTCTCAGTCTGGGTGTGGTCCTCCACTGAATCCTTCCCCAAGTCTTGAGTAGTCCAGAGGCTGGTATCTTATGATTAAGAACTCTATCTACTGATGGTGTATTGGAGACTTCTGATAGGATCAATTGAAACATCTGACTGGGGCTGGGAAGGTGGCTCAGTGGTAGAGCACTTGCCTTGCATGCATGAAGCCCTGGGTTCCATTCCTCAGCACCACATAAACACAAAAAGTCGGAAGTGGCGCTATGGCTCAAAGTGGTAGAGTGCTAGCATTTGAGCAGAAAGAGCTCAGGAACAGTTCCCAGGCCCTGAATTCAAGCCCCAGGACAGGCACAAAACAACAACAACAACAACAAAAAAAAACCCCACAACAAAATGACAAGTGGCTGGCTTTAAGGCTCAAAATGGTAGAGCACTAACCCCTAGCAAAAAAATCTCAGGGACAGCCCCCAGGCCTGGAGTTCAAGCCCCATCACTAACAATCAATCAAATCAATCAAGCAAAGAAAGTTGAGAACCTTTGCCAAGCTCTGGAAATAGGGACATGACTCTTCGGTGTTACCCTACAAAGGATTGTAACACTTGCTCCTAGTGGATGGAGGAGGATAGAGAATTGCAGGAGGTGAAATTTAGGTTGGCTCTTCAAGAGCTGAAGTAGACAAAGGAATGGAGATCAAGAAATCCAAGGAGGGTATTTAGGACGCTGAAATCTGAGGACTGCAGTTTGAAACCAGCCTGGGCAAGAAAAGACTGTGAGACTTGTATCTCTAAATAACCAGTGAAAAGCCAGAAGTGGAGCTGTGGCGTGATTGTGCAGAAGACACACACACACACACACACACACACACACACACACACACACCATTTCATCCAGAGATGGGCAGGGAATAAATGGGAAGCGCTGAATGACCACTTAGTAAGGTATCAGGTAAATGATTGGCTGGTCAGACTGGAGAAGGGAGATCAGAGGAGGTAATGTCCGGGGTGGTAGGAGGAACTATATAATTGATCAAAATGGTGGGCACAGCTCCAGTACTAATTATTTTTTTTCTTTTGAGGCTTGAACTCAGGGCCTGGGCACAGTCCCCAAGCTTCTTTTGCTTAAGGCTAGCACGCTACCACTTGAGCCACAGTGCCACTTCTGGCTTTTTCTGTCTATGTGGTACTGAAGAATTGAACCCAGGGCTTCATGCATGCTAGGCAAGCACTCAATCACTAAGCCATGTTCCCAGCCCCTACGTGTGTGTGTGTGTGTGTGTGTGTGTGTGTGTGTGTGTGCGCACGCTCGCCAGTCCTGGTGCTTGAAACTGGGGCCTGGGCAGTGTCTCCCAGCTTCTCTGGCTTAAGGCTAGCATGCTACTACTTAAGCTACAGCCCTACTCCTGGTTTTTTCAATGTTTAATTGGAAATGAAGAGTTTCATGGACGTTCCTGCCTAGGCTGGCTTAGAATGTTGATACTCAGGCTGGGAAGGTGGCTCAGTGGTAGACCGCTTGCCTTGCCTGCATGAGGCCCTGGGTTTGATTCCTCAGCACCACGTAAGAAAAAAGCCAAAAGTGGCGCTGTGGCTCAAGTGGTAGAGCGCTAGCCTTGAGCTGAAGAGCTGAGGGACAGTGACCAGGCCCAGAGTTCAGGCCCCACCACCAGACCAAAAAAAAAAGAATGTCGATCCTCAGATCTCAGCCTCCTGAGGAGCTTACAGGCATGAGCCACCGGTGCCCGGCTCCAGTACCAATTTTAAGAAAAGCCATCTCTACAGAGTGGCTTTCCTAGTTAACTCCCTTGGTAAAACTAGAGGTATAGCAAAGAGTCAGCGGGCGGGTAGGGGGGCTCCAGGAGAGACGTGTCCCCTCCCCACGTGACCTCACCGTTCCCGGAGGAATGTGCAGCAGGCGTCTTTGATGCTCTGTAGCTGCAGGAAGCTCGCCCCCATCAGCAGCGCCTGGACGTTCTGCTGGTCGATGGCGAGGTTGCCATTGTAAGCAAAGTTGATCAGAGCTTCCAGGGCGCTAGAAGACAAGGGAGAAGGACGTGAGAAGCTCTTCGGAGATGGTGAGCCTAGGTCCACAGGTGACTCAGGACCCAAGCGAACTGGAGGAGAGATGAGCCTTGTTCCCAAATCCATTGAACCTATGGCCTTTGAGAGTCTGAGTAGAACAAACACTTCTCATGGACTTTCCAGCCCGGGCTGGCTTTGAACTGTGATCCTCCGATTTCAGCTTCCTGAGTAGCTAGGATTATAGGCGTGAGCCACCCACACATATAAACACACACACACACACACACACACACACACACACAATCAATCAATCAATCAACCAATCAGTCTTCATGTAACCTAGTCTCAGGGCCATGGGCTATTATGTTTACCCGCCACCTACTGTACGTGACTGGTACTGCAGCCCTGGTGCAGGCTGGGTGCGTGGCCGGACCCACCCCAGGAGGCAGCTGAAGGCTGAGTGTTGGAATTGTATACCTTGGGTCCATTCCTTGCATCACGATCTCGTCCTGCTTGCACTCCATCATGTCGTTAGTAAACATGGCATGGAAGTAGGGGATGGAGGCTGCTAAGACAATCCGGTGGGCGCTGAATTTGTGGTCCCCGATCTGCGAGCAAGGCAAAAAGACAAAAGCCAGAGAGTGAGGGACACACGCAAAAACCACCACCAACAACAAAAAACCAACCTGCCATCGGGGCACTCATAGGATCATGGTTTGAAGCCAGCCTGGAAAGGAAAATCTGTGAGATTCTTATCTCCAACTGACAAGTCTTTCTCCAATCAGTATTAAACTCTCACTGACACGTGCCTGGAGAAATCTCTAAAGTGATTTCCAACAAGTGCCGAAAAGCTGTTTCCTTCCATATGCTTGACCATGTACAGCTCTAAGCTATGGAAACATTTCTACTTAACTCAAGGCCTGGGCGCTGTCCCTGAGCTCTTTTGCTCAAGGCTAGGGCTCTACTACTTTGAGCCACAGCACCACTTCCAGTTTTTGAGTGGCTCACTGGAGGTTAAGAGTCTCGTGGGGACTTTCCTGCCTGGGCTGGCTTCGAACCTCACATCTCAGCCTCCGGAGTAGCTAGGATGACAGGTGTGAGCCACTGGCGCCCAGCTTGTTGAGCTTCAGGTTTCTTTTCTTGTTTCTTTTTGTGCTGGTAGCTAGAGCTCGAACTCAGGGCCTTGTGTTTTCCTTTGGCTTTTTTGCTCAAGGCTGGTGCTCTACCATTTGGGACTCATGACTTAGTCTGTGGAAGAGTTGGGGAGTAGAAGTGGATGCAACTATATCTAGCTCTTTGCTTGTCCATTTTTGTTTTGGGCTAGTCCTGGGTCTTGAACTCAGGGCCTGGAGGTGTCTCTAAGCTTCTTTTGCTCAAGGCTAGCGCTCTCTATTGCTTGAGCACAGAGCCACTGCTGGCTTTTTCTGAGTAGTTTATTAGAAGTAAGAGTCTTATGGACTTTCCTGCCTGGGCTGACTTTCACCTATGATTGTCAGATCTCCGCCTCCTGAGTTGTGAGGATTACAGCCATGAGCCATCAGCGCTTAGCCTTGCTTCTCCGTTTTATAGACTCATTCGTGTACACATCAACCTCAAAGCCTTTAGACTCTCAATCACGTGTCTCTGTAAAATGATAGATGGCTATTTATTCCTCACTTTCGGCGTCCCTTGCCCCCCCCCCCCCCCCCCCCCCCCCCCCCCCCCCGCTGAAAGCTCAGCCTTAATCCTACTGATCCCAAAGCTATATTTATTCTGTCTGGGCACTTAAGCTATTGATTGTGTGAATGTTAAGAGTACTAGTAGCAAAGTGTTTTCCAGCAAAGAGAAATCTATTCTGGGCTCTATGTTATTTTTGCTTTCTTTGGGAGCCTTATCACAGATGCCTCCCAATTCAGAAATTCCTCAGCTGCTTTTACTGCTTGAATAAGCAGCTGATTGGATATCAAGCTTCGCCTGCCTACCTGTCAGATACATTATTATCCTTGTGGATGCAAACGTAGCGCAAGGCAGGCTGGGAATGGAAAGTTTCCCCAGGGGAAGGATAAGCGATGTGTGGTGTGTGTGTGTGTGTGTGATATGTATGTCTATGTTACGTGCAATCTGGGGCAGCTGATGAGGAACTCAGGTGACTCTGGAGATGGGCATCTATTCCTGCTCAGAAAAGAAACTGAACCTTGGTCCTACAGATCTCAGCCCCGAGTAGCTAGGATTACAGGAATGGGCCACTGTGCCTGGCCGTAAATAGGTAGTCTTGATGGTTACACAAGAGTGTAAATGTGTTTAGAGCCACTTCATCATATGGTTAAAAATGGCGGTCAGAAGATGGTGGCTCATGCCTGTAATCTTAGCTACTGAGGCTGAGAGCTGAGGATCACAGTTCAAAGCCAGCCAGGGCAGGAAAGTCTGTGAGACTCTTATCTCCAATAAACAACCAGAAAACCGGAAGTGACGCCGTGGCTCAAGTGGTAGAGGGCTCGCCTTGAGCTGAAGAGCTGAGGGACAGCACCCAGGCCCAGAGTTCAAGCTCCACCACCGACCAAAAGAGCTCAGGACAGTACCCAGGCCCTGAGTTCAAGTCCCAGGACTGGCACACACCACCACCACCACCACTACCCCCCCCACACACCAAAATGCTTTAGGAAAACAGAAGAGGGAATGTTTGATCATTTCTCTCCTCTCTTTCTCTTAAGAAAACAAGAAAGGAGCTCTGAAGTTTGGACAGGATGGCCTAGCAGATAGGAGCCGAAGGAATATTAGAGCTAAGGCCCTGACCATGCAGAACACAGGACCTAAAGACACAGCCAGCTGTTTGAGAGGGACCATGGGCAGTCAGGGGAGAAGAGCAGAGCTGGGCAGCTGTGGAGGTCTGAGAATCAAAAGAAAAACCAAACAACAGCTGGGGGCCTGGGGAAGCCAGTGCGGACCGGCTGTCAGCAACAGAAATCCTTAAGCTGCTCCCTCTTGTGTGTGTCAGCAGGGACAGCGGTGGATTTCTATGAGCAGCTTAGAATAATCAGAGGTTCAGTCAAATCAGCAGTTCTTTCCTAAGTCCTCCCCCAAACTAGCCACCGGCGCTGCATGGATGCTCTCACGATTTCTAGATAGCTTGATGGTACAAAGGGCTAGTCCACAGACATGGTGGGGGGGGGGGAGGGATGGGGGGGAGAAAAGACAGGCTTTTCCCAGTACAAAGAGAGGCATCTTTAAAAACTACCAAGAGCCTGGCGCTGATGGCTCACGCCTGTGATGCTAGCTACTCAGGTCTGTTTGTTTGTTTTAATCTACACAATAAATGGCTTGGCTGGAGGACCTCTGCAGACTCCTTTAATATGATTATTCAAGCTCTATCATTACCCCATGGGTTCACTCACAACAGTACACGTCCCCAGAATGGCACGCACCAACAAGTCCTTACTCCATTTCCTAATAGGCCTTCTCCACCTGCTCTTTCATCACAAAGCCAGCGGTAAGAAGAAATGGAGCAAGACTCCAGGCTCAAAGTGCACCTCTGCAGTCGGTTTCGGTGGTCATGGATTGACGCTGATCAAAAGGAAGTGATCAAAGGGAAGTGTTCTAGGGCCGGGCCTGGTGACTCACGCCTGTGCTCAATGTAGCTACTTGAGAGGTGGCGATCAAAAGGATTGTGGTGAAGCCGGGTGCCCGTGGCTCCCGTCTGTCATCCTAGCTACTCAGGAGGCTGAGATCGGAGATCATGGTTCAAAGCCAGCCCGGGCAGGAAAGTCCGTGAGACTCTTATCTCCAATAAACCACCAGAAAACTGGAAGTGGTGTTGTGGCTCAAACTGGTAAGCTACTAGCCTTGAGCAAAAGAGCTCAGGGATAGCACCCAGGCCCTGAGTTCAAGCACTACACCAACCCCCACCCCCCAAAAAAGTAAAGAGATGTAAAGCCATGAGTTCAAGTCCCAGTACAGGCACCAAAACAATGGGGAAAAAATACAGGTAGAATCTCTGCCACACTACCTGTCAGACTGATGGATCAAAGATCAGCAAAGATCCTGAGAAAAAGAAATGTAAGTCAACAAAAGATGAGAAGATGAGCCAGGCACCAGTACCTTATGCCTGTAATTCCTAGCTACAGGAGGCTGAGATCTAAGGATCCCAGTTTGAAGCCAGCCCAGGGCAGGCAATGTCTGTGAGACTTTTTTTCCCTGCCAGTCCTGGGGCTGGAACTCAGAGTCTGGGCACTGTCCCTGAGCTACCACTCTACCCTGTGAGCCACAGCACCACTTCTGGCTTTTTCCATGTATGCAGTACTGAGGAATCGAACCCAGGGCTTCATGCATGCTAGGCAAGCACTCTACCACTAAGGCACCAAAAGAGCCAGAAGTAGAGCTGTGGTTCCAGTGGTAAAGCACTTAGCCTTGAGCACAAAAGCTTAAGGACAGGGCCTAAGCCCAGAGTTCAAGCCTCAGGAGGCAAAAAGGAAAAAAAAAAAAAAAAAACGATTAAAAGATGAGAATCAGAAAGATAAGCAGTACCAAACCTAGCTAGAGAATTGAGGAATGCAGGTGTCCAGCAGAATGTGCAGAATCACCAACTCAATTAACCCTTTATCTCTTCAGGTGTGCCAGGTGGAGGGTCTGGGAACCGGCAGCCCTGGTCCCCTCCCTCGGAGAAGTCACTGCCCAAGTATGTCCCTAGCAGAAAATTGGTCCAATCTAAACAGGATAAACTAGTGACTCCGGATTGGGTAAGGAGGACATCGTAAATGTCAGGAAGTGCCACCACAAATAAGAATGTACCAGAAGTCTGCAGACAGATGGGACAAGCCTTTGGACCCTTCTCACAAATAAGTTCCTTAGAATAGTTAGACTTAACACCATTTAGGAAAAACATCCTAGAGGAGGATTTATGGCCTCTGAACCCATCACAATGAAAAGGACAGGTTCAACTAGGAGTCAGTGGCTCACCTTATCATCCTAGCTACTCAGGAGGCTGAGGGCTGAGGATCGTGGTTCAAAGCCAGCTCAGGATGGAAAGTCTGTGAGACTTTTCTCTACAATAAACCAACAAGAATACTGGAAGTGAGCCCCCCCTCCCGCCCCCCAAAAGGCCCATGTAGGCATGCAAGCAAGCAAAAAGGACAAGCTCATCATTCTCCATCCGTGGCTCTCAGAATGTGGTCCAAGACGAGATATAGCATCATTGGAGAATTTGACAAAAATGTTTTTGGGGCCCAGACCAGATCGATGAATCAGTCATTCTGGGGTGAGCTCCAACAACCAAAAGGGTCACCAGGTGCTTTTAGAGTCTCTGCTCTAAGGCCTCCAGAAACTTCCAATCAGCTTTTCACGGCTGGTTCTGTTCGAAAAAGCAGCCTGGAATTACCAGAAACTTGAAAAAGACTCAAAACATGAGAGAGAGACCAAAACACATCTCACAGAGCAGCTCTTTTGGGGCCTTGTTTCCTTGGCTTTTTCCCGCTCCCCGCCCATTCCCAAGCTACTGCACCTTCACAGATCAGTCTGAGAACCAGTGATGTGAACGCCCCCTATAGTACTGACTACCCTTACTCGGTGTCTTCATTCTGGTCCTGTATCTCCAACCCTTGAAACTAACAAAGCCATTCATATTTATCAACATGCTCAATTAGATCTACATTCAGTGATTTACTTGAGTTTATTTATTTATTTGTTTTTTGGGTCTGGTCATAGGGCCTGAACTCTGGGCCTGAGCACTGTCCCTCAGCTCTTCAGCTCAAGGCTAGTGCTCTACCACTTAGCCACAGCTCCACTTCCGGCTTTTTTCTTTTTGCTTATGTGGTTCTGAGGAATTGAACCCAGGGCCTCAGGCATGCAAGGCAACCACTGAGCCAACTTCCCAGCCCCTTTACTTGAGTTTAAATGAACAGAGAACACTGTGTGTGTGTGTGTGTTTATATGTGTGCTGGCCCTGGGGTTTGAACTCAGAGCCTAGACACTTATCTCTGAACTCTTTTTTTGCTGAAGGCTAGCACTCTACCATTTGACTGACAGCTCTACTTTTAAATGTTTTTTGTATGTAGGTTATTGGAGATAAAGACTCACGGAACCTGGATCTCAGCCTCCTGAGTAGCTAGGATGACAGTCGTGAGCCACCAGTGTCCAGCTGAACAGAAATCATTTTAATGGGAAAATCATACAAGTACTCTTTTTCTGCTATAAATTTGTTACATTTAGTATCTGAATTAAATGCAGAAGCAAATATACTTCTTCATGTCTGAGTAACTATGATCACTTCACTCTTCCGTGCCTTTTGTGTGTGTTTGTGTGTGCCAATGTGTGTCAGTACCTTTGAACTCAGGGCCATTCACTCTCTTGGCTAGCTTGTTCATTTCTAGCACTCTACCACTTGAGCCATGCCTCCAGTTCACCATTTTGCTGGTTAATTGGAGAGTCTTATGGGTGTTTCTGCCTGAGCTGACTTCCAATTGTAATCCTCTGAACTTATCTCTCTCTCTTTTTTATTTTTTGGTCAGTCATGGGGTTTGAACTCTGGGCCTGGGCGCTGTCCCTCAGCTCTTCAGCTCAAGGCGAGCGCTCTACCACTTGAGCCACAGCGCCACTTCCAGTTTTCTAGTGGTTTATTGGAAATAAGAGTCTCACTGACTTTCCTTGCCTGGGCTGACTTTGAACCGTGATCCTCAGATCTCAGCCTCCTGAGTAGGTAGGATTACAGGTGTGAGCCACCGGTACCTGGCTTTGAACTTACGTCTCTTGAGTACCGTCTCTTGAGTACCGTCTCTTGAGTACCTACGTGTGAGCCACTTTCCAAATCCTTCTGCCTCTAAAGTCAAATGCTTACCCATCCTACTGCACTCTCTCGGGCAGTCTGTCTCAAATATATGACCAAAACAAGTTCCTAAATTTCGGCCTGTGGTTCACACCAGTAATCCTAGCTATTCAGAAGGCTGATCTAAGGATCACAATTAGAAACCAGCCTATACTTCCTGTGAGACTCTTATCTCCAATTAACCACCAAAGAGCTTGAAGGGGAGGTGTGGCTCTAGAGGTAGAGCACCAGCCTTGAGTGGAAAAAGGTAAGGAACAACACTTTGGACTGAGTTCAAGCCCCAGAAGGGCATACACATACTGACACACTGACAGAAAGACAGACAGACACACACACACACACTATCCTTAACTATGTAGAAAATAACAGATCAAAAAGGTCCCTTCATAGGTTTGTTTGTAAATGCAGGAGATAGAAGGAGAGTCACCTACAGATTCTGAGCATCTTCTAGCCAAAGCCCAACACAGAACTCCATGTTGGAGTCCCACCTCCCTACCTGTAAAGCTGCACTGCTGCAAATCGACCAGCAGCGTCTTTTCTGGTGGTGGGAGTAGTAGAGGGTACCTTCCAGTGTCAACATTCAGATTCGATTCTAAAAGCACTTAAGAGACAAGGTCTAAGCTGCCCACGTCTCTATGTCTGTAATCCTAGCCATTCAGGAGGTTTGAGATGCAATAACCTTGGTTCAAAGCCAGCCCAGGCAAGAAAATCCATGATACTCTCATTTCCAATGAACCACCAAAAAAAAAAAAGAAAGCCAGCAATGGAACTGTGGCTCAAGTAGTAGAGTGATACAACCTTGAGAGAGAGAGAGAGAAAAAAAAAAGAGCTTATAAGAACAGAGCCTGGGCTGGGAAGGTGGCTCAGTGGTACAGTGCTTGCCTTGCATGCCTGAGACCCTGGGTTCAATTCCCAGCACCACATAAGCAGAAAAAGCTGGAAGTGGCACTGTGGCTCAAGTGGTAGAATGCTAACCTTGAGCTGAAGAGCTAAGGGACCGTGCCCAGGCCCAGAGTTCAGGCCCACAGCCGACAAAAAAAAACAAAACACAACAAAAAACAGAGCCTGAGCCAGGTGCCTGTGGCTCACGCCTGTCATCCTAGCTACTCAGGAGGCTGAGATCTGAGGATCGCGGTTCAAAGCCAGCCCAGACAGGAAAGTCTGTGAAAATCTTTTTTTT